GTTATATTATGCATATGATTTTATGTGAAAAAACCCAGTTAAAACACATTCCAAATGTAATTTTGACATAGAAAACTTTGCTTTTGAACGAGGATATAGGCCTGTTGGTATATAACTTTTAAAAAATTGTTACTAGTTTGACATCAGTTTATATTTTGGGCAACTGGAATAAACTGTAACTGATGTTTAAAATACAAATAAAGCATTAATCAAAACTAGGTATTTCACAGACTTTTTCTATTTTACTTGTTTTTTCTGATCTTGTGACAGTCAATTCTTTTTATAATTTGTTGGTTTCGAACAATTATCCTCTTACAGTCTTGTTTAACCCGTTAATTGCGTAGGTCGTTATATAATGTCCTAGACAACTGCCACTGCCTTGGAGGTATTTTCCCCAACCTATTCTTAGAACATAGTTCGTCACTTGGGCAATTCCCACGATCGCAGCATGTGTAGGATGTTATATTATGTCCTGGACAACTGACACTCATTGTGTGTAGGGTGTAATATAACGCCTTGGAGGTATTTTCCCCAACCTATTCTTAGAATATAGTACATAGTTCTTCGTCAAATTAATTACACAATTAGGGGGTAGTTAACGTTTTAAAAACGTCACGCTTAACGGGTTAACAGCAACTCTTTGTCTTCACAAGATTATCAATCAGTTGATAATCATTTGTGTTTCTGTTATCTCTCTCTACTTCAGTCAGTAACAATAATTACTTTCCTTTATTTGCATCATTTTCAGATTCTTCTAATTCCTGTTGTGGATCAATTGTAGTAAAGATCTCTGATGTTAATTTTTTTTAACCAAGTCTATCACATATGTAATATTGATGGACACCAACATTGTCCTTTAAAGGTACCGGTATATGGTTTGATTGAATCTTTACAGCGGTCAATGTACTGACATTTCTTCTTTGTAGGTTAATAAACATCATGGGGAAAACTGTTAAAAAAATAATAGGCAGACCAAACAGACATAATATCCACACAATGATAACAATTTCAAATGTCAAACAGAAATAAACCTTAAGGTGTTGTCAAACGTGGGTGCACGTAAGTCACCAGAATTATATTTTTTCATTTCTTATGGTTTCTGCAAATGATTTCTAGTGGATTGTAACCTTTGTATATACTATGTGGGCATGTGTGAGCTATTGAATATAGATAGAATTATATTTGATGCCAGGAATTCAAAGAATGATGAGTAGTCTTGAAAATATTTTAGTTCAATACTACTACCAGGATGAGCAAACATGGAAATGGAATCGGTAATCAGATTTCTCGAAATAAGTTAGGAATTTCGGATTAATTAAACAGTTCTTTTCTTGAACATGATCCCCACTTGTAGTCCTAGGGGCACTCTTACTCAGATTGAAAACTTGTGATATAGGTGAATGTTAAGACACTTTAATAGACTACAGACTGCGAGTGATAAGTGTTTTCTTCCACTTGTTACAGATCTGCTATAATCCTTCCTGTGCTTCATGGATGAATATTAAAAAGCTGTAGCAGAAGCCATTTCAGTAGATAATCTTATTGAGATATGTTTGAGATAATCTATAAATAATTGGATTCAGGATAAAAAACGATGAGATGATTCATCTTGCCAAATATTCCTGATGTTTTTGTTGGACTTGACATGCATCTTCCAGAAACATGTAAAAATTATTGAGATTTTCTTCATAATATTAAGATTGTGATCACACCAGTATTTGATTAAAGCAGATTGGAACACCATTGTATAAATTTTGTAACAGGGACCATAAATCAACCGCTTGTCTGTAGAAGCAAAGAATAGCTTTGAACGTAAAGGCATGGTAGCATACTTTTTTGGCAGCCTTAATGTTATTCACATTAGTCTAGCCAGATGGAGGTTTCGGTATTAAGCTATCTCTGCATTGACCGAGAAGGTTCATCCAGATTTTCGGACGTGATTTCCCCTTGCCAGTGATGCAGGACGGAGGGCCTGACAAGGACAGCTGTCTAGTCGTTTGGATGGGAAGAAAATCCGAGGTCCCGTGTACACATTGGCATGCACGTAAAAGATCCCTTGGCAGTTCGATTTAAGAGTAGGCCGTAGCGCTGCTGCCCGGGCAAAAAATATATCAAAACTTGAACAAAGGGCAATAACTTTAGTAATTATTACTGATAATTCGTGAAAATCAACCATTCTGTAGGATATACAACCCATATCAATTACAAAATGGTATATGGATTATTGTAACCTCTTGTGTACTAAGAAATGTGAAAGACAGAATGATGTAGACCATAACATTAAAGGAAAGGGCAAAACAATCAAGATAAGAAAGGGCAGAACGATCTAGGTGATCATAAAAAATCACTGAAAATAAATAGCCTCCTTTCTTTGAATAAGCTAAGCAACTTATACAAATTTCCAAGAAGATGGGATCATAATTAACATGATTTTGTAGAAATGTGGAATAACTAGAAGTTATTAGCAAACAACTCGCACAAATTGCAAAGAGATAAGATGATAATTGGAATATGGTTCTTCCTTTCAATAGAATAGAAAACCATTGTAAATTTGAAAAAAAATTGCTTAATAATTGCAGTCAGTCAAATTTCATGAGAAAGGGGCATAACTCTGGATGTGATTATCAAAAAATGTTGAAACTTAATTCTTGTTCCATTTCATACAAAAAAATTATAGATTTTCCAGTAATGTGGACTTCGAGGAGTAACAAAAACCTATTAGACTGGTCTGTATAAAATTGCTTCATCCCCTTTGTATTGGCATTAATAATAGATTTTTAACAGATTAGATACTTTCAGATATTGGTTACATTTTGGACTTTGAGTTGATCTAATAAGATTAAAAAGTTGAGGACAGAAAATGCTTGATGTTGACAATTTTAATCAAATGGCTTGTGAGCTATTGAATTAGATGATGTGCAGTTTGGACAATTTTTCTTGGGCGAAATGTAACAAAGCTGGAGTAGCCCTTTAATTTTGAGCTGTCCAGCCAAGCCCTCCTGTATTATTTCATGTTTGGAAGCTTTTTATGTGTTATACACATGTGTTTTACACAAAATACCAACATGTTTTATATTGTCTGATTCGTTAACTCATGTTATAAATAGATCATTTCCTGGCAATACGTTATTTTATTGATATAGTGCATAAAAAAGTCTTACTTGAAATGTTCACCTCCATATCAGTTTAGTCTGTGTGACATAAACAATCTGAATTCTGAGACCTACATAGAAAATCATGATGGGCAAAGGTCTAAGCTAAGAATATGAAGAAATTTGCTGTTCAGTGTAAATCTCTATAACTATGTGATAAAAGCAAAATTTGATTAGAATGTAACAAGAGCACAAAATAATAAAACAACCTGAAATCTAATTAAAATGTATGATTAAAAGAAGAAAATAAGTTATATTGCAAGCTGAATAATATCTTTATCTATAAACCAGATATACTTTTAACTTTTTCAACTCCACAAATTAAGTGATATTTTGATAAAATTCTAGTGCAAAACACTTTCAGGTTCTGAAAGTACTTGTATTACCATATCAACATGAATGTGACTTATATTTTCGCAATTTGTTGATGATAGAAATACAAGTAAGAGAATGTTGCCTTAATTGAAGTTTTATCAACTATATTTGTGCAGAAGAATTACTATATATATTTTATATCAAAAGAGCTTTGTATGTGGGCGTATATTGTCGTCTGTCGGTCCGTCGGTCCATCTGTTCGTTTGTCCATCGTCCACAATTTCTTGTGAACGCTATAATGCCAAAAGTTATCATCCGATCGTTTTAAAATTAATAGATGTTATTGTGAGATGAAGAAGTCTATTTAATTTCAATAGGGGGGTGGATGGCCGAATGGTTAGCATGTGCACGCTGGCGTGGTTTCGATTCCCCGGTTGTACGTGACAAGGAGAAGGGTCGCCTGTCCAACCTTGTGGGTTTTCTCCGGGTCCTCCGGTTTCCTTCCACTGCTAAAGACCCCGACGCACAATTGAATTTTTGAATTAAAATTCAACCATATGTTGTGTTGAGTGGACATTAAACCCCATTTGTCTCTCTCTTAATTTCAATATTTCTACTCTTCAAAAAAAGTAGGGGATATTGAAATGCAAATATCTATGCAGGTTGTGATATGATAAATAGTCATGGACACTTGACATGCTTTGAGAGTATGTTCACAGATGAAGAACTTATCGCCCCTACAGAACCCCTGAGCTGCACATGCGACACACAATAGCGCCATACACGTGGGAGGGGTTCATTGTCAAATTTGATACTTCAATGAAGGGTTGATGAAAACTGCCACGTACTGGTTTATCCTATCCATGTTTGCTTTCCTATCGGTTCTTGCAAAAGATTTACTGTTTAGCGTATCTTTGCTTTAGTGTGTTACGTTTAATTTGCAATGACACGTCTTCAACATGATAAAGGTCTACGTGCTATTGGCATGCTTCAAATGGGTTCTACACAGCGAGCAGTAGCCAACATGCTTAATATGTCACCGTCTGTGATCAGCAGACTGTGGAACCAGTACCAACAAACACACAATGTTGATGATAGACCGCGTTCAGGTTGTCCTAGAGCCACTACACAAGCCCAGGATCGATACATTCGTACTTAGGTCCTGCGAAATCGAGGACAAATGGCCAATTAGCTTTCTGTAAACTTGTACTTAGATATCGGCTGCATGCAGCCCATTTTCATGCACGATGACCGTGTGTTGTGCCTCCATTAACTCGCCAGCACATGGCAAACAGGTGTCAATAGTGATCTGATCTGTATGAAATTGTCTTGTAAATGCACCCAATTACCTACAAAAGCATAAATATGTGACAACCCTTGTCGACCGCTCGAACGATTTAGTGCTATGAGCGTATGTTTCATTGCCTGGCAACCTATCTTTTAAGCATGTATTTAACAAGACTAAAATTGATTTTTATTTTAAACTCTAATATTACATAGATATATTATATATATATATTTCTTTGATTTCAGGATTTCTGCTATTTAAGGATTTTTGTAATACTGTATTAGAAGAACAAGTTCCTCAGCTCAAATTCTATGAAGAGGTAAGAAAACATATCAAAATATTTAATAGGCAAAATATAGATGTACTGTATAATACTGTGTTTAAGACAATGGTTCACTAAAACACATCACACGGAACCCTGAATTACCAACATCTATCTACCTTATGACGTGAACGAAAGAATTTTACACAACAATTCACCCCGAGAAGGGTAAACACCCAAATTATATGAAATGAAGTATTGAATTGTACACAACAAATTCACATTGGTTGTTGAATTGAACTTAAATTGTACAATGTTGACTTTGAACTGCACTGATTCAATCCACTCGAATTTTGGACTGTACAAGTCTATCATATAAACACAAAACTTGTGAATGCATAAATCATCAGACATTACAAAATCTATACTAATATTTATGACTGTCGTTTGTCTGTTCAGGGTTGGCAGCTAGACTAGGGCCGTCCCTAGGCTGAAATTTGGTGTATAGGGGTAGCTCGGACCAGGGAGTAACATAGGCTAGGTGGCGTTGGCCTACCACTTCCGGTTTCAGAGTTATACTACATTCACGATTGGTCAGTGAAAATGAAAATGGTTCACTAACTAATAGTTCCAATGCATGAAGCAGGCAGAAACGCTGTCGTTCGTAACCAACACCCTTTTTGTAGAATAGGCGGAACACCACTGTCCAGGCCAATTTCCTTCATAGCGTACTTCATGGTGTGTGTGCCTCTCTTTAGCAGCTCGATTTGTGCAGTAAAGTAGGATGTTAAACCCCATTTTATTTCCATCCACTGGACACAGAAATATATATTGATATCAGCTTCAAGTGGTATGATAAAGGTAAGACTAATATGTGTCTAGGTTGATATGTGTTTTAGGGATTGGGCTTTGTATTTTAGTTAACATACTTTGATGAGTGAATGCGTTCAAATCAATACCAAAGTGAAGCTGCCTTATTATCTTTTGTGGAGATATTGGGGCTTAGGGTGCAAATGGAACCTGCGTAATATTGTGCACTGTACAGATTTAAAAATAATTTTGTCTAATCGATAAAAAAACACATAAAACTTGTGTATTAACTAATATGGCAATTAACATAAAAAATGTAAATGAACCAGTAATTGAATAATGTTACTTTTAGAATTTTTAACAATACATTTGTAAGAAGAACTTATGCTGGGACTTTGCGATAAGCACAGATGTTTCTAAAATGATCAAGAAATGAATACGCAGATTTAAAGATTTTTCTTTAATTTGACTTTATATTTTACAGCCCGTCATTTGCTTGCGTCATCGCTTGTCAGCTAAATGTTTTTATTACTACAAAAACTGTCACTAATGATGGAAGTAGAAAATATTGGAAATGTTTTTCTATTTCTCATTGTTTCCGCAAAGAGTTTCTAAGACAACAATTGATCCTCCATAGTTGGTATTGATTTGGTAATGAGCTTACGGGAAGAGTAGCATGCTCCCAGTTAATCATGACTAGCTCTATTGACCACACCTTATAAATATAAGATGGTAAAATGAAGGGTCTGTGTGAATACCTGGACAAGAAGATTATAATGTACTATATATGTTCATGTATATTAATCAGTTTTATCATTACATATTGACATATACAACATACACTTGATTTAACTTGACTTTATTCCAGCTTAGCCATTGATTTATATTACATATTACTGAGTTTATGGTAATACTACAGTATTTAGGTGGGTGGTGGTCGTCTATACAATAGATTGTGCAATCATATATTTTTCACACACTGAACTATTTCAGTAGGTATAAGGAAACCAAAAGCATACAAGTTCTTTTTCATATGGTACTGCTGTTGTTATGCACACATATTAAAATGTGGTTGTATGTTGTTGTCATGTGGGTTTGTCCGTATGTTCATCATACAGTGTAAATGTATGCAGCTTTGCTGGCAGCAAAGCTTATCATCTGCTTAAGTATTGATATTACATCTACAGTAGAACTTGCTCCGGCGTGCACTCCTAATCAGCGAAAACTTGCTTCACCGAGCACCAAAAAATCCCCCCGAGCGATTTTTAAGTAATTTAACCTATACTAAACAAGCACCTGTTCAACGCGTGCAACGGGCGTCACGATTAATTCCCCCCGTAAAAACTCTACTGTTTCAACGGGCACTCCTCTAACGCGGTCAGTGGTCACTATTTTACTAATAAATTCAACAAAACATCGCCCATTCAACGTCCATTGTTGAATGATACCATCTTGTCGTTCTTTCTCTTTAACAGTCCCGCTAATCCCGTGAGTAGTAGTTAATTAACTGGACCCCCACTGATCAGGTAAAAAGAAATGTAAAAATAACAATCAACCCGGGATTATCTGTTTATTAATCTTTTGTTTTATTAAACGACTAACCTGGTCATTGTTTTCACGCGTAACGACACATTATTTGATACTGATTGAATAAAATGAAAGTACCGAGTTTTGTCACGATCATCTAGTATCTCTTTTCCATTGCCACTTTTTTTTTATTAAACAGACGTTATAGTGCCCCCTATAATACAGTTACATCCCCTGTAAATCAGTGATAAAATCGGCGATGTTTTTTTGTTCATGTGCTTTTTTTGATAAAATAAAATTAATTCATCGATTTTCTTCACAAAAATGGATAAATATTATCGAATGCATTACAATGGTAGACAGTAGTATCGAAGGTTGCTACAAAATGACAAGTTTACAGAAGTTATGTTCAAGATTTGAGTAAAGAATTTTTGTTCGCCGCAAGATTCAGCGTCGGTCAAATTTATCGATGCAAGTATTGATGTTCGCTCCCAATGCACCCAAGCGTAATTAATTTATGTCAGCACAAAAAGCACCGAGATTTTTTTAAGTGGTCGCGTAATCCCTAAAATAGTTGGGGTGGGAAATACTCAAATTCACGGCATTTTGAAATGCTATGATTCGGTATGATGAAAGTAAAAGAAATATTGGGGGGCCAGAGATCCAGTATTACTAAACAAACATGTATACGCAACTACTTTGAATTCACAACTAGATGTATTGTTATTGTTATACTACATGAATAAAAAAATATATGCAATCTATATCTTTATTTTTTGTGGTAGGGGTTGGGGCAATATTAGATACCTCTAGTCAAAGAGCACCTACATTAAGCAAGCATTTTTAAATTTCCCTTGGGTGCTTGCTTAATACAAGTTCTACTGTACATGTATTATTTATTTATGTTAGTCCTAGAAAAAAGCGTATAATTATTTCATGTCTTGCTGCCCTTGAGCAAAAACTGCTTGACCATAACTGCTGTGGCATGTATGTTTTGTTAACTGGAAACCTGTCTTTACTAGTACTTACAAAACAAAAATCCTGAAAGTAAAAAAACAATTTCAAGAACAAAATTTTGTCATTAAGAAAATATATGAAAGAGAACTAGCTACTATTCAAGTGACAGTCTACCTTAAATGGTTTCCTATAGAATATGTTGTTGAATCAGAGTTTACATTAAATATTTACTAAGAAGATATGCCAAAGTGATATTATTTTGGGTATGACATAGTTTTTGGCTCTGTTTTCTTTGTCAGTCTATTTGCAGTTTAAATCCAACCTAAAATAGATGTGTTAAGGAAATATCTCTGTAGATTCTATGTATGTTATAGTTATAACTTCTTATGCTACAGCTTATTGAACAAATTTTAATTTCTGTAATGTACATATAAGTAATTTTGTAATTGTATCCCACAACTACCAGCTAACGCTTTCAGAAATCCTGGAGGCACCAATGCCAATAATTTTGGATTTTTACAACTAAACATTATTTAATGTGAAATAACTGCAAGGAATATAAAAAAAAATTTTTTTAATAAAAGGAAGGCTTGAATTATGTTGAACACATTTTGGACAAAGAGTTCCTTAAGCTTACTTGCTGTTTTTCAGAATACTAATTACTATGTTGTAAAATGGCCTTGCCTTATACTTTGCTGCATAGATTCTATATAGCCTGCTTTTAGGCTTAGCTTAAACTTTCCTAAGACTTCCTTATTGTGAAGCCAAAGCTTCTTTAGCTTTTCTTTGATGGCATTTAACCTTCATCTGGAACATCTCAATATGGTATAGCAATATCATCAATAAAGATGTTGTGTCGAGCAAGGTTATTAACTGTGAGGTATTTAGTAGAATGCTCGTATCTTTCATAGATTATCATTCTACAGTATTTACCTCCAAGCAGATGTCCTGCTTCAATATCCTATTGATAAAAGATACAGGGTAATTGATTGGTCGATAATGTGGATGCCATTATTGGAACCACCAATCAAGAAACTCATTATAAAATTTTAGATCGAGTAAAGATATACATTATACATTTATATATATATATATATATATATATTTTATATAACTTGCTTACAAAGATGATAGAAATTGGTTGTCGTGGTAATAGTTTTGTTATTTTCTGGAAGCCATGTTAATTTACTATCATGCTGTCTATTGGCCTATTGATTCTGTTTTTATCATCAATATTACATGTTTCATAAGTTTCCTTACATGACTAAAACAACCTCTCAAGATCATTAGGAAGAAATGAATCTAACATTAAGACCAAGCTATTGGAAATAAACTTAATTAAGTCTTTTCACATCATCTGATATAATCACACTAGGATAAAAATCATAGTGCTTAATAACATTTGTTCACAAACAGGTTTGTCATTGAAGACATCTCTTGTCTAGGCTTCCCAGCATATACCGTAAGCTACAATTAGTATCATGTCATGCCAAAGCAGAGTATGCTTAGTCTTTCCACTAGAGACTATCCTTAAAGATACATTATGTAAGATTTAGATAAAGAGCTGACCATTCTTGCACACACCTCTGAATAAGTCGCGTTAAGGGTAAAAAAAAATGTCCCTAGCATATTGTTTGTATTTTCATTGAACACATACCAAAGGCTGTTCAGAAGTGAAAAAATGAAAATCTTCTATAGACTAAATTCGAAAATATGCCAAATATAAGAAAAAATATATCTAAAGTTTACTTCTTACGCACTAT